GAACAATCTTCACTGTGCCCGATAGTGGTTTAAAAAGAACGTTGAAATACAGTCAAATCGTTACTGGGCGTGGTAGTTTGATCATTCGGAACACTTAAGTGTGTCATTCAACCCGGCTGGGAACTTTTTGAATCAGCCGTGCCGGAGTTTAAAATTCTTGGGAATGAATGCCGTGTCATGTGACATTGGTGCACGTGTTCACTCTTTTCATAACCTACACTTCACTGAAGAGTCATTGGTACATTAGACATGCCTGCCGACCAGGAAATGACAAACTTCCTAGTTCATTCGGTGAAACAGATATTTCGAGTTTCTGTTTGAGCTGAATGAACTGGGCATGAAAAGGCCTATGGGTTCTTGTTAATGTCCCACATTATAATACTTTGAGTTTCACGGGAATACGGAGCAGTCAATGCAGGAAAGCACGCTTGTAATTCTGGCTTCGTAGCCAAACAAGATGCTCGGCGGCTGGAGAAAACTCGAAAACTCTCATCGATCCACCTCTTTCTATGAGTCATAGTTAAAGTCGCGCGCACTGTTAAACCCTAAGTCTAGCGAAAATTTTCGGAGTCGACTGCATGTAGCTTTTTATCTCATACTAAATAGTTCAGTGAAATGTTGATCGTTTACGAACGCTACTGATCTGACACACATTCTATCCATAAACATGGAAAATGCTCTTACTAGGTGGTTCAAAACCAGTGTATTCATCTTTGTGGTAGCAGTTATTTACATGCGACTGTAAACGAATTATTTTATCCTGAGAAAAATTGGGCTCTTTGAATGAATCTACTATTAAGCTTGAGAATATCGCACAAATTTCTGGACGGCCTTTTTTTCAAGGATGCATCTCAAGCCCCATATACTGCTCAATACTGCTTGCTCGTCAAGAGAAGGCCCTTACGAACATACGGGGAGTTTTGCAAGGAATCGTTTGCCTGGTGGAATTTCGTCACGCTCTTAGACAACGTTTTTCCTGTCCGGGACCGCTTATCAATGAAGCACAGCTCACATACTCCCGGTTAGTCACTGAGGTGGTGGGAAACGTGTTTGATAGGGTACAGCAACCGATTTAGTCTATAAACTCCGTGTCAAAGTGTGGTCAGAAATTATTTATCTTGCATGGAGCCCCAACGCAGCCGATTCCAATGTTTCTTCCCCTATCTTTATCTACCGGTAGCAGACAATCGGGTCTCTTTTTAGTCATCTAGCACTCTGTGTAAGTATTTGTTGCTAATCCGGATTTCAATATTTAGCCCGCATTCTTACTGACTAGGATACTGTTTGAATGGAACAGATTGCCGACCTACTTGTGTGATTGAAAAAAATCGCTGTTATATACCAGGTTGACTGATACCTCTGTTATGTATAAATGCAATATAGGATTAATCATGTGTACTATCAATACCAATTAACTCTCGCTGACTGAGTTTTTCGTGGTCTAGACAAAATGTTGTCCTTGGCCAAGATTATCCGACCAAACGTGTCCTTTGGACATTTCTCAACCAATTTGTATCGAACGACCAAAGGGTCTAATTATTTCCATTTTCGTTTTTCGAAGTTCACCCGTTTGATGCATTGCCGACTGCAAACAGAAAGCATGCACACGCGCGCGCATAGCTGAAACAAAATAATTTGATCTCTCTAATGATGCTTTTTTCTTTTGATCTGATGTACATCTGTCCCTCTTTCGATACCACACAGTGAGAATTGTTTTCTCGAAAATGCCTATTCGTTTATTTAGAGTTTTTTTCTATCTACAGTGCACACTTTCGTTCATTGCACAAAAGAACCGTCTACTGCTGTAGTAATCGATTTGTAGTTAATGGTTCGACAACGAGTAGTGTCACCTAATACTGACGGACTCATATTCCGGTCGGAGGCATCATACCAGGTCGTTTCTCTTCGTTGTCGAACACTGTTTATGTTTCGTATGTTTGTGTGTACACCGATCTTTTCAAAGTGGTTCCACAACAGCCACGGATAATAAAAGAACAAAGTAAATGAAACATTCGCGGTTCGTGTTGGTGACGGATAATGGGTGTCTCTGTTTGGGCTTTTGCGGGGATGCTAGGCACTGGAAATTTCAAACGCGCGCAGATGCAGTCTCGCAGTAACTTTGATTCACTGGCACGCCTAGTGGAGCTTTCAGTTGACATAAAAGTTAACTCTCTCAGATCATGCATTTACACATGCCAAGTCCCTTGATCTCTCTCTCTCTCTCTCTCTATATATATATATATATATATATATATATATATCCTTTATTGCTGTAACGGTATCTGAAAAAGAACGATTCGTAAGCATGACCATCGTCTCCCAAGAAATAAGGTTTTGTTCTTCAGTTTGCATAATTAATTCTAACAGTGACCAATATACTGCCGGCTTTGAAAACACTGTTACCTGTTGTTTATCGTGAGTTTCTATTCCTGAATCCAATTTATCTGGATTTCGAAAAGGCTCACAAAAATAAGCAACAACAACTCCCTCGTATGGTTGGTTGGGATTATAATAAATGTTTTTCCTGACTCAAAAAGAGAACAAAACAATAGAATGAATTGCATCAGTCTCCGGATTATGTTGCATATCCACTCAATATTCAGTCTGGTATCAGATCTAGTTAGAACAGGATTGGTGTGAGTCCGCTTCAGAACTCGTCGCGGTTCAATACACATTCCATGGCCGAATTGAGATAAGAGCCCTTGATCGGAGCACGGGAGCGGAAGTGGTGAAGTGTGGAGGACTCGCTTAACCCTGTGTTTGCACTGTACGCATCATCGCACATCACCAGTGGTAACCTCTTTTGTCTAGTTGCGTTTGTTTTGTTATTCTCAGCGTGACCGCTCACTGTCCAGTCTCTTTAATTTTGCTAAATGCAAACGATTTCATCGTTTATGATTGCCCGTAACTGTTCACCTGGAGTAGCACACCAACCGAGGTTCGTAAGAATCATTTGCTAATCTCCACCACCCCCCGCCTTTTCTTTGCCTCAACCCCGAGTGTTATCCTAGTTCCTGTTCATGTTGTCTCGCGCCTATCAAATGGTTCACCATTGTGCCTCGTGCGTGCTCACTCTTTTTGACTGATTGATGAAATTCATTGAATTTGTATTGCCCGACCAGCAACATTACTGGTTCGCTGTAGTATCCGTTTGAGAAATTTTGGTTCAGCAACAGTTTTATTGCTGCTTTTCTCTCCACGGTCAATTCACTGTTTTTCTTTTAATAATTGCTACGGCCCATAACAATTGTGGGATTCCATAATGAATGGGATCCTTTGACTCTTTGTTGTGATTGAAAAAGCTGCGACTACACAAATCAATGATTGGACAGTCGTTTACAAATGTTCACTACTGGTTTCGCCGCTTTAACGGCTCACGAGGATATTTTTGGGTCATTCATTTACGACTTTTCACATATTCACAGCAAATTGACCTTGTTACCGAGTTTGCTGGTATAT